ATTAGGATTTCCTAGCTTTATAACCCTAATAGCCTAAGTATATAAGGAGCCCTTAGGCACCAAAAACGTGACTAACAATGGGATTAGGGTTTCCAGCCGTTTTTGGTGCCTCCTCTCTCTTCTCTTCTTCATATTGTTGCTTAGTGGTGTTTGTGACTCCATTAGAGGTGCAACACTTGAGGCACTAAGTTTTCTGAAGCTTAAGATTGATTTTTATTGCTATATAACAATCAAAGGTCATATCTAAACTCTATTTTCTATTAATATGATTAATTGTATGCTAGATCTAGGGTTTATAGCTTTGGATATTCAATTGCATGTTCATTACACAAACTAGATCCAAAGCTATTAGGGTTTGCATGTACACCATAGGAATGATGTATTGCTCGAAACTCATCAGTGGTATCAGAGCCTAAGGCTGTTTGTTAGTGAATTTGATGCTTATTTAAACGAAAAATTGATATTTTTGACTTTTTGGGGTTGGACTCGCCGAGTCCATAACTGAAGTCACCGAGTCCATTGGGTACTCGACGAGTCCAGCACTGACTCGACGAGTTAGCGGGTCTGACAGCTATATTTCGTGATTTTCGTCGAGTCAGCGGGTCTGACAACTATATTTCGTGATTTTCTTTCCTTTTTTGTTGTGGGATAATGACCAAAACATTTTTGGTTGATAAAAATTTGATTTTTATGATATTGGGTGATTATCCTTGCTAAAATAAAATATTTCTTCATATTAATTGAATAATTACTTCCTTATATGATTAAATTTAATTATTTGAATTATTTGGTGAATTATCTTGCAAGAAATTGGACTAGGTGAAAATTAGATAACCACCAATTAGTTGTTAATTGTCTTATTTGAATTTTTGATCTAGAATGTTTTTGATAAAGTTTGAAAAAGTTTCAAATTACTCCCTTTAGTTTTTATAGTTTAAATTTGAACTTAAAAGTATTGTTTTTGATATTTAAATAAGTTAAACCCTAATGTTTTGAAAAGTTTCAAAACTTGCCCTCAACTTTTGGATTTTAAAATTAATTAAAAGTCTTAATTTGAAATTTTAAATTCTAAAACCCAAGTAATTTGAAAAGTTCAATTTACACCCTTATGGTTTTATTAATTAATTAAAGTGTATAATTAAAAGAGATTTAATAAACCCATAAAGTTTTGGTTTACATTTAAATAAATTAAAAGTATAATTTGCTAAATGAGACCACCTAGTATTTAAAAAGTGTAAAATACACTCTATGCTATATATAACATTAAAATTCTAATACGATATATATATATATATATATATATATATATATATATATATATATATATATATATATATATATATATATATATGTGTATGTATGAGTAAACAGTTAGTGTTACCGTTAGTAGGCCTCATTCATGAAACTGGTCTATAAGGGGTGTTTAAGGAAATTGCATATAAAATGGCGATTGAATGGATATCCACTCTTACCCACCGCATTCTTGACCGGTGGAGGGTCGGTAGCCGAACGGGTAGGATAGGACGAAACCTTCCATTATAAGTATAATGAAGTACAAAGTAACTACTTGTTTTTCCAAATTCCCAAATCATAGTTACTTTAGGCAAAATGTGAAATTGTATGCTAGTCCATGGAATGACACTTTGTACCATTTCCGAGACGTTAGTAGAGCGTGTGAGGTTAACCGGCACACTAATTTGGGTTTGGCATTGGTGGCGAAGGGTGGCTTGATGTTTGTCATAGATTAATGGAGCGTGTGTGGCTAATTGGCACATTGATTAGGTGATAGTAGCATTGAGTGCACCACGTAGATTCATATGGTTATTCACACCTTGTTTGTGATCCTCGGCATCCTAGTCACAAACTTGAAGGGCATAATCGAGATTAAACATGCCATTGAAAAGTTCAATGAATCTCAAAAGACCTAGGAGTTTCAATTCATTTAAAACTTAAACTTCCTTTTTGTTTTTCATGGTGGAAATTGGTAAATCGTCATTTACCTACCTTCAAATATTCTGCAACTAGATTACGACATCCCTTTTCTAGGTTGTAGAGTATTGTGTTGCATCCTAGCCTTAATAATTCATTTGGGTGGTTTATTAAGGACTCAATCAAATTAACTTGAATTTTCTCCCTTTTTGTAGATGTCTAAATCTTACAATGGTCTTCCCAAATCCTTTGGAACATGCTTTCCAAATGAAGATGACGTTCCAAGATACGATCAAGGAAATAAGAGTCATGCTTCACTTCCTCCACCTCCTCCAATTGTTCTCCCTGACCCACAAGTTCAAAGGCTTGAAAAGTTTAAGCTCACTCAAGCCCTTTTAGCAATTAAACACGAAGATAGGAAACCTATGTATGCACACATCTTAGAAATGAAGTCACACATTGACAGGTTAAGAATGTTGGGTGTCGATATCTCAAAAATGGTGGCTGTTGACTGGGTTCTCCAGTCACTTCTTGATTCGTATAGTGAGTTCGTAAGAGAGTACTATACGGTGGTTCATGACATGACCCTCATTGATTTGACCTATTTGATAATTGCTACTGAATCAACGATGATTTGGCTCAATGGTCAAGCAAAACTCGATTGGTTAATCAAACTCCCATACTTCATTGGACACTAGCAACATTGAAAGTCCAGAAAGGACTGAGCATGAGATTGTCCCATGTAATCTTCCAAGGGAGTCAATTTGCTTTTATTGCCAAGAAAAGGGGCATTCGAGACGAAGATGCCATGTTTACTTGAGAGATCTAAGAGATGGGAGAGTCAAGACGTATGGCTCTACTTCAGGTAAAATCCATTAACTAACTCTATAAGTTCCTATTTTTTATTCTTAATACATGATCTGATAAGATTACATTTTGATGTTTTGCAGGATCGAAGAAAAGAAAGGAAGCTTAAGGAAGAAGCGTGCTGAATCTGATCACGAAGAAATGGATTTTTGATCGCATGGATTCAAAGATCGGATTTTTGAGATGCTTCTTTAAAGTTAGGATAGATTGTTAAGAAATATGTAATAGCATAGTTTTTCAGTTGAATTGCATTGTAAGGATAAGTTTTTCCGCAATAAAATAAATTTTGATTTTATCTTATTTATTTATCCTTGCAATGGCATGTATGAAAAATTAATGTTTGAAAGTTTCTGTTATTAGCAATAATGTATTTGATTCTTAGTTATGTTATTTGTGGAAATATCGAGAATTTGCCAAATAGGGAGAGTTTCCCATCCCCCAAAATTCAATTGGATAGAAACTTAGAATCATACAAATTGGTTGTGTGATGAATGAGAAACTTTATAATTGGAATTTCAAGACTAATTCATTGACAAAGGGTCAAGTGAAGGACTAGGAGATCGAGTTCATAATGTTGTGCATCAATCAAGTCCACCACAAGAGTGATAAAGATATTTGTCATGATTTACTAAAGTTTAGTAAATATGATTATACTTATAAGATTAAGTGTAACTCTGAGTTAATTGAAAAGATTTCAATGAATGGCAGAACGAATAAGAAGAATCAAGAAGGGCAGAAAAATAAAATTTTCTCTGTTCTAAGAAGAAGGGAGAGTAACTTTTTTGTGTTTTATGATAGATGTTAATGATTAAGAACCATGTCTCAATTGATCCTCTAAGTGAATCTTAGTGCAATTGCGTGTCTAAGAAGATGAATCGAGAATTGTAGAAATTGTTAAATCAAGAAGTCAATCATACTTCGTTCCAATATCAAGTCTTAGAGTCAAGATTGTGACTTGAGTGAAAAATCTTAAGTAGGTTTGTAACACTTATCAAATGTAAAATAATAAAGTTTTTTATTCTTGTACATTTGAAATTGGTAAGTTGTGATGTCTTGGATAAAATATATATATATATATATATATATATATATATATATATATATATATATATATATATATATATATATATATATATATATATATATACCAAAATAAATAAAAAATAAAATTAGTTTTTCATTTCATCTTTTTAACAAATAAATGTTTTAATTGAAATTTTTATGGAATTAAAAAAAAAAAGAGAAGCTAACTTGTTATCGCGCATGCCCAAAAGGGGTTGGCTAAAAAGACACCCTATTTTACCATTTAGACAACCATAATTAATGTTTGAAATATTTTTATTGGTTGAAATTTCATTGTTTTCCGAAAAAGATGATTACAAGAAGTTGATTATAAGTTGATTTTTTATAAAAATGATTATAGGGTGTCTAAGGGGTGTCTTATTAGCAACACCCTGCTCAAAATAACATTATATTTTTGTGTATGCACTGAGATTATTATGTTTTCTAAATTTTGTTAAATTAATGTTTAGTTATTGGATATCCTAAATTAATAATATCATCTATCATTTTAATTTATGTATGAAATACAACTGCTTTTGAGTTTTCGTTTTTGAGTTATGAAACATAACTTTAACAAAAAAAAAAAAATCAGAAAAGATAATGCTTTTAATAGATATGAAAATATTTTATTTGTTTTTTAATATAATTGGGTAATATATTCTGTTGTTCCGGGCATTGCTCATGTTTTTGTAAAGACTACGCAACTTTTTTTTTTTTTTTTTTTTCAAATTTATTTATCATAGCTTACAATAAGTAAGTTTACAAACATTTGTTATCTTACGCGTTGTTTTCGAGTTTTACTTAAAGAGGGATATATATGAAAATAGAAACAAGTTATGGATATCGAAAGAAAATCGTGTTTTTGAGTTTCATTAATTGAAGAAAAATAAAAAGAATAAAATAATTTTGAAACCATATTTTCCTTTCAAATTTTACTCTCAAATTGAACCGATTTGAAGAAGAAAGTGAGGGAAAAAAAATCTTTAAATTTATTTTATTTTCACTCCCAACTCAGAAGCATAAAAACTTAAAATTTCTCTCTTCGAAATCATGAAAAGGGAATAAAGAAAATTTTACTTCTCTTTCTTTTTGTCATTATTTTCATTCCCTTTCTTTTATTGAATGTACTAAAAAAAACTCGAGAAGAAGACGATAGTGGTGATCAACTATCTAATTTTCAATTTCATTTCCAAATGTCTCACTATTTAAAAAATATCGTTTAAAAAATCATTAATGCTTACACTTTGAAATAATTTTATCACAATTTATATCATTTTAATTTTTCAATCGAGTTTTAAACTAACTTTTGTATTTCATCCTCATCCGCCTCTTATCTTCTTTCTCCCTCGCTCCCAAGTCTCAACACGCGCACGTCGATGGCAGTATCTCGGAGCATGTCGCCGGCAATTTCCAGTCCAACTACCCCTTTTTACCACCCATCTTCATCTCTCTCAATTTTTCCAAAAACCCATCGTCCTTCCCATTTGTTTCGAACCATAACCTTTTCAACCACTTCCAATTTCCCCCGTAATTCCAAAACTTCAACTTCAGTTTCAGGAATCTGGGACGCCATTACAGGAGGAGCCGGTTCATCCCGTGAAGCCCTAATCGCAATTCGACGAGGAATGGTTCTCTTTCGTCAGGTTCCTCCACATTTCCCAAATCGAATCTTTCTCCTGCTTTTAGTTTCTTGTTATCTTCTCAATATCATCTTTCTTTGTAATTAAGGGTGATGTAGCGGGGTCTGTAGCAGAGTTTGATAATGCAATTCAACTTGATCCTCGTCAAAAGGCATGTGAGTTCCTCACGTCCTCTCATTTATATACCCAATTTGGGATTTAAGTGGAAATTACATCTTGTTTGTTAATCAATTAATGAGGATAATGAAAGCAAGAAACTTACATAATTTACAAGTTTTGATCATTGGTATTGTGTGAATAGATCTTTGGCAAAGAGGGCTCTCACTGTATTACCTTGATAGGTATTTCCAGAAGTAAAAGAAATTCTCATTTAATTTGATCATTTTCATCTTTCTTATTTACTAATGTCACCATGATTGGCCAATGTGGGTAGATTTGAAGAAGGGGCAGAGCAATTCCGAATAGATGTAGCACAAAATCCAAACGACACTGAGGAGTCAATTTGGTGTTTTCTTTGTGAAGCTCAACTATATGGAGCGACTGAAGCAAGAAAACGATTTCTTGAGGTCTATATATAATTTCCATGAAAGAAAGTCATCAATTTTGAATCTCTCATTACAATATTTCCCCTTGGTGTATGTTTTACAGGTTGGAAGAGATCCTAGACCTGTAATGAGAGAAGCATATAACATGTTCAAAGATGGTGGTGACCCTGAAAAGGTACATGTAATAAAACTTTATAATAACTTTTGATGTTGTGAATGCCTTTTAGTATATGCTATATTGCTATCTTGAAAAGATTACTTGGTCTAAAGTGATTAATATCTCTTTTCAGCTTGTAGATGTTTTTTCTAAAGGACGAGCGAGTGAGTATTTTTATGCTTCCCTATACGCCGGCCTTTATTATGAATCTCAGGTCTGTATATATCTTTTCAAGATTCTTTAAATGCTTCTTGATTTATTTTCATTTGATTTGTTTTCATTCTCTTGTAATCTTGCTAATTGTAGAATGAAGCTGACAAAGCCAAAGTTCACTTGGTTGCTTCATGTAAATCACCTTATGGAGAAAGGTCGGGATGTTTCACTGGTGCTTTTTATATAAAAGTCATTTAAATTTCGCTAATATTTTATTTTTTTAATGTTGTGTGTTGAATGTTACAGGTTGGATGATTATATGGCATCCTTGGCGAAAGTTCATTGTCAGTGTCGAAAGTGGGAGTTGTAGTTGAATTCCATATAGCTCGATCCACCTTTTGTAAATTGAATTTGACTCTTCGAGAAATCCATTTTATAGATACATGAAATTATATGTTAGAAACGTAAAAAGATTTTATGTAATATAAAAGGTGTAAATAACCTTAAAGATTTTGTTAATCTTTATTTTGGAGTAGCTACAGAAGATGATGAACAATTATTGTGAAAAAAAACACAAATCGCCGAAATGTCATCAATTGCGATCCCTCTTCTTTTGCGTTTCCATTCACGGACTGCACGATCCACTAGACGTTTAGCCGATTTGGCCTTGTCTGCTGTCGATGACACAATCTCGACTGCTTCTTCATTTGAAACAACATCCCACACCTACAGAGAAACATCACATAATTTTTATCAACACAGAACAGGTTGTACTGTATTTGACATCGGACAGAAACCAAACCAGACTATGCTAAAGACATTAACTAGTTCTAAGTTTTACGCATTTTTAAACGTACCCCATCGGAAGCAAGCACAATAAATTGGTCTTGGTTGGTTATATTTCGTTGTATGACTTCGGGAACAGAAATAAGCCCGAAATTTTTAATACAGTAATCGCCAAAGGCTCGTGACATAGCCAGACCAGGGGAGTCCTCATTTGGCAGCCACACGCGGTGCACACCGGGCTCGTCTTCTAGGTAGAAGACGCGCCCATTGCACTCAATTATTCGTTCGGCCTCTTCTACACACAAAATAAGTTTTTTCAAACACACCAACAAAAATTGAACATAAAATTATTTCTAGAGACAACCACTCACGAGGTAGATTCGGTTTGAAATCGACTGTAAGTTGTAGGGGTATCAAGCCACCATCATCACTAGCCGTGGCTAACACTGCACGAGAATCTCCAACATTCGCTATGACAAGGTGATCACCCTGAAAAGTTGTATTTGTAAAAAGGTTATTATTCCAACATACTCTTGTCATAATATCACATGAGATGTAAATCAGGTATACTGGGCTTACATGAAAGCCCAATAGAAGAAGCTAAGAACATCATGTGATATGTAAATCAGATATACTCCAATTCGTGACTGGTAATACTTAAACTTTTTCATGTTAAAAGTAGAAAGGATCTTGAATTACCTGTCTCACAACCACCAAAGCTGTTGTTCCACTATAAACCGAATCAATTTTGCGGTATTGTTGTAGATCATGATCGACATCGGCACAAGTCTTTGTGATAGAATGCTGCCATATATGAAATCTATCAAGCTTTTTATCAGATTCCAAATCAAGATCATCATCAACTGAATTTTCGATTAGCATATCTTGCCAATTACAAAGCAACGATGATGTCATCGACTCACAAACTCTCTTTGCAACGTAATGTCCCCATGGACCATGACCATCGAAAACCCCACAAAACATCATGTCCTCCTGGCACCCAAATTCCTACACTCCGAGAAAAAAAACACATAAAACGTCGCTTTTAGTGATCCAAATTCCATACCACTAAAATCAACATGAAATTTGTTGGAGTCTCCCTTCTTTCCTCAATGACTTTTATGGAGAAAAAAATCAAGAACTCCATATATTTATATGGTATGAGAACGGGTGTCTAGCACCTCATGGCCACACCATGTTCAAGGGCTCTTTTGTGCTCACAAAAGTCACAAAATATTAAGAAAATTAAGGACTCCTTATGTATGACAAACATGGGATGAAAAAGATAATCTTTATATACCTCCCAAACAATGCAACAATCTTGATTGACACCTTTTTCGCCTTTCCTGGAGCAAACAGAAGCAAAATTATCCGATCCTTTCACGTTTACAGTGCCGGAGGATCTTAAGATCATCTCATTCTTCTTTGCGTCTTTTGCCATGGCTTCTGCAGCTTCTTTGCCACTACATTCCGTAGAACTCGTCCCTCTCTTGGAGGTCGAAAACGTTCTTGATAATCCATCTAACATGGAGGAAAAACGGCCCATAATTCACTTCTGAAAATCACAAAAAGTCAATATTTTTACTTCATATGATTTACATAGATTCTAATAATAAATGTCATACACGGGATGTCAATGTTCCTTATGGTCTACTTTGGTTTCATTCCTAAAAAAAACTGTCAGAAAGAACAATCAAACCTATGAACTTAAAAAAGGGTAATTTTCTTTATATCCTATTCTGGAAAACATAAATCCAAGTTGTGGATAACCCCATTATTCTACATTTTTGTGTACCCAGAAGAACAATTAGAAAAAGCTTTCATTTTAATCTATAACGAAATCAACAAACCAAACCCATAATAAATAAAATAAGATAGTCGGAGAATATGCCGCATGAGCATCCCACTGGATATATACCGCAGGAGCTGTAGATTCGGTTTCAAAACCTAAAGAAGAAGTGGGTAGAGGTTTGATGAGAAAGACCTTGTTCTGATCGGGATGCAAGAGGTCGGGATGATCGCCGGAAAGTTGGCCGGAATATGAATGAAATCCGGTGAGAGTGAAAACGAGTGAGGCAATCTGCAATCATATGTATTTTGTTTGTGCCTTTTAAGATATTTAAGTGGGGGAGGAGACTTGGAAAAAAGACGTTTGAGATGTATGCAAATACAAATACAGTATGTGTGGTGGAGGCCATAAGTGGGTGATTTGTAACTGGAACAAGACCCACCTTTTTCAGCAGTAAATCTATCCGTTTCATCTTCAGTGATGGATATGTTTTAAGATATGTTTGATTATAACTTTTAATGAAGGATTTCTTTATTTGTTTACTTTTAGAACCGCAAATAATAATAATAATTTTTATCTTCTAACAGTTATACAAAATTAAATATGCTAATGTTACAAAATTAGGTTGTGTAACACATTTTTTTTTCCATAAAAGTATATCGATATTGATATATTATTATAGAAAATAAAGACTGATACGGTTTGATATCTTTTAAATAATAAACAAATAATAGTAAAAATAAAAAATAAGACATAATGATCATAAAACTGATGATCAGTTTTCACAGTTTCTAACGTTTTTGTGGGTTTGTATTTGTAAAATCACAAAAAAATGAATTTGTTGATTGCTTAACAGCTTAATAAATAATTAAATCTTGTTAAAGATGTCGGTAGAAATAAGATTTGAATAATTGATACTCGGTGACTTGGTATAAACAAACAATTTAGACTTTATGTTTATTTTGTAACAGGTCAATGAATATGATCATCAACGATAGTTATATATAGATGTGACAATTATTATGTATTCTTGACTATTCCCTATAAATAATGTAGATAAACTCCGTTTAGTAAGTTAGTTCATGTTACCTTGAGTTCTTGTATCTATATAAGAATTCGACAAGAAAATCATTGAAAAGTCACATTTGTTCTTATTTTGTTTTCTTGCTGCTTGTGATTGAATATTCAATTCTTAATTTTGTAGCATATATGTTCATCATTTTTATATGAATCTCATCTTTTCAGTTGGTTTTATAGTCTAAAAAAGTTATTAAATTTGTGTTTTTTTTATTGATTCTTTGATTTCAGGTTTTTATTTAAGTAGATTAATTTCTAAATTTCATTTGAATTGCTATTTTTCATAAATTGAATTTTAATCCAGAAAAAGAACAAATAATAGGTTATTATCTGTTACTTATCATCGTACAACGAATGGGAAGGCAAACAAACAACAAGTTGCGTCGCTAAGCCCTTTTGTATGGTAAAGCCAATTCTTTTGAATACTACATCCATAGATCTAGGGTATATAACATTGCTATGCATGATCCGTTGTACTCTACTAAGAAGCTCCACCGCAATGAAACCAAACGTATCAAATGCAAATGGTATGAACGTGTGTTGATTTTCCATGCACATTTTCTCATGTTTGGTAACCTTGAATTTGTAGCTTTTAATGTAGGTTGTCCCGCCGTGAAACCCTCTACCCTCAAGCTTACGATAGGGGATACCCCTATGAGGTCCACACATGCATGTTTCCCTCCAACCCATCCAAAAATCAAAACATCAGCCAGTCTAAGGGTTGACCTTCCTTCTGTTGGGTCAGTCAGGAAATTCACAGGAGCCTCTTTATTGGCGGAGACCCTAGCGTGCTTACCTATGTCGACTAAAACATCCCTAACCATATCGTGCCTATATTTGAACCACGAGAGTTCCTTGCAATGAAACGCATGCTCACCGAAAGAGTCCAAACATGCCTTGCGGCACACTGGACAAATCCCATTGGCTGAGAATATTGGAATCATGAGTCCATATTTGAGGATGGTACGATACTCCATAGGAGACATATGTTGGCCAAGCCTATCTATAGGGATAGCTAGAAGAAAATCTTGATCATGTAATGTACGTAAACATTGAAAAACCGTTTTCTGCCGAGCCATCATGTTGAGATTCACTTCCATATCTTGGACAATTTTACTAAAAAGAGCACTCGCCAGCGTATTCTTGGATTTAGAGGGTGGTGTCCTTAGTAGTAAAACTGCTAAGGTCAATGTCCGGAAGCTTGTTACGAAGAAAATGCAAGGCACCAGCATAATCAGAATCCACACCATAAATGTCGCTATCCCGCAATATGTAGTCTTGCAATACCCAAGATTGGGTCCTTGAGGCAACAAACGCATATGAGGTAGCCTCTACCATCGATTATAAACCCAAACCACCAAACCGAATGGGTAGGGTAGCAAGTTGCCATTGTAAGTTGCCAAAGAAGGGGCCACCACAAACCATAATGTCCTCAATCGCCCTGAGTAACCCATTATTGAAGAGCAACGCCGATTCCTCCATGTGAACGGGTTGGCACGTCCTCAGCCCAAAAAAAAAAGTTTAGCAATACCCATATAAGACCGAAATAGAAGGATCTCACTCTGCGAGCCATACAATTATGGAAGAAGGCGCATCAAATTCATAACGCTTTTAGCTCTCTTTATGGGTAAGTTGAATGGAAATTTTGAATTTCAATTTGTTCACATGTAAAGATGCACAAGTGTATAATCAAAATAACTCTTTGATTAAATAAGGAAATATAACTCAAAAACCTTTTCATTTGTTTTCTCTTAAATCCTAAAAACTCAACTAAGATATTGTATTTATAGACTTCTAATAACCGACTTACTATTAGACTACAATTAGGATTCATGGCTAACTTGCCATCTTTATGATTACTTGGTTTCCAATTCCTCATCGACTTAGGATTCCAATAATCACCGCGAATCTCTAAGCCTTTAATGAGAATACTTCAACCTCGATCCGTATTTAAAATACCGGCTCGTCGTTGTCGAAACATTTTGAAAAATCACCTTCTTGTAATTTTTTGATTCGTTCCGGACACTCAGAGGCAAAGTGAGCCAGTTTGTCACACCGAAAAAAATCATCTTAGATCGGTCTTTTTCCTTATTTTTTCGATTTTTGTCACAACAACAATTACAATTTTTGCAATTAGTGGAATTGGGTTGAGGTAACTCAGAATTGGATTTGTGGTGTCAGGGCTTACCCTTTTATGATACTAGATTACATGATTTTGTCCCACTTGACCCATCAACCCCATTAAACCCTCCTGATCCACTAAATCCTCTTGATCCAAGATTACTAGTCGACGCCCCTTTTCCCATTGTCGATCTTTCCTTCGCTCCACCAAACAATCCATCGCCACCTCCTGAACCACTGTTGCCACCACTCGATGACCACAGAACCTTTGGTTCTTCTCCTTCGTCATTACTCTCTTCCATAATCATTTCTTCTTAAGCTTTAAGGCTTCCCACAACATCATCAAATCAAACCGATTTGAGATCTAAGACTTGTTCCAAATAAGTAACTACAAGGATGAAATTTCTGGGCAAAGCTTTCAAAAATTTCTTAACCAATTTAGATTCTTCGATCACTTCTCCTAAACCAGCCAATTTTGAGTAGATTCCTGACAATTTCCCATTAAAAGCATCGATCGATTCAGTCTCCTGCATATTCAGTCTATCGAAATCAGCCATTAGGGTCTGGAGTCGTGTGACATCCCCAATTTCGCAGCTAGAAAAGACCGATTTGTTTATGCCATATTCGAAAATCAGAGTACCCTTTTAAGGAAAAGTATTGCAGAATTTGTTCCAAAAAGATAAATATGATAAAAATTTATCAAAGAATTTACGAAGAAATGTATTTCATTATATTAAAACCTCGGGATGTCATGTTCGATACAAATCAAAAGCATAAACAGAACAAGATAGGCCTTACAATATTTATTTATATCTACTGGCCTATAATCCATAATCCCTCGTCAAATCATCCAACTATGCTCTTGTGCTACTACTTGTAACACAAGAAACTGAGTGGGTCAGGCTTGGTAGCCTGGTGAGTACATAGGGTTTTCAACCCACAATAAATAAGTTTATTATTTTCATCAAATAATTCAACCCGATTACCCGTTCTCCTTATCCTTAGTTTACATCCCTAAGGTATCTAGTATATAGGACCTGGCCTAAGGATTTTCATCGGGATGAAAACACTGCTTAGGGGATACCTCAATAATTTATGTCAAATAAGGCAACCATGAGGGGGATGGAGTACTGCTGGTGAACACTAAATTCAAATATACTTATAGGTTGCGAGCCTGTTAGCGTTCCGCTGGAATGTTTAGAATAGTCCATCGTCATCATCTATACTCCGCTAGATGACTGGCTCATCATCAACATCTAGGCCTCTCATCATATTTTCGCACATTGTCTATTTCATCTACCCATGTTTTACCACAACATTTTTTTAGATATAAAATACATATACAGTTTAAATCATTTAGAACTCGTATAAAAGTGTTCATCCATCATAGATATCAAGTAAACAAAAAATATGCACACATAGCACGTAATTAATATAAAATACTTCATTTATATGTGTAAGATGAAAGTGACTATGCACTCACTTGTTAAATTGACGACTCGAAATTCAAGCAACGCTTCGTTTCTTAACAATATGATTTCTGTCGACGAAACCTAGTATTATTACCACTAGATTTTAGTCTAATATTTATTGCGACTAATTATTTGTCTAGATTCGTCATTAACTGAGAGTCTACTACATGATCTATCAAGTATGGAACAATCAGCTAGGATCATATCAAAGGTAAGGTCTATTTGGTATACAAAGTATACTTGTTGGAAATCTTACTTTAAACACCTCACTAAATCACAGCCTAGACATCATCCCCGTAAGTGGATCAATCAGTATAACGACTTTGAATCACTGATAAATCTTATTTATAGATTCAAAAAAACAATATTATATTTAAATATAAGCTATATTTAAATTAGGGAGCGGGTTTTGCTAAAAACCAGGCTCCACTGGAGCAGAGCTTCTGAGCCTACAATCTCTTTTTTTTTTGGAGCCTTCGGGCACTTCGGAGCTTTCTTCTAGTGCTAAGGGAGTTTCCTAGGGCTTTAGGGGGGGGGGGGTTTAGAGAGAAGTTAGAGAGAGAAGAGAAAGGTGGAAGTGTGAAGAAATGAGGGTGGAAGGAGTTCTATTTATAGGATGAAATATGGCTCAACTGGGTGCCAGATGTCACCATCTAGTGGCAAGACTTGGGGAGAAAGCAATGACCCAGATTCAACAACGTCACCCCTTCGCAACAGCACCCTACCGACTTCTAGACCGCGTAACTTTTGCATACAAGCTCCATTTTCGACGTTCTTTATATCCATGAGTAGGTGGAGACATATTATACAACTTTCATTTAGACCCTGTTGGCTAATTCTTGACCGATTTTTTATTTAGCAGTTTTAGAATATTACACTGTTAAGGACCGTGTAAAATTCTTAACTTCTACATACAGACTCCATTTACGACTGTCTTTTTATTGTTGAGATACTATTAATGAAATATTCAAATTTCATTTAGGTTTGTGTCGGTTAAAAATCGCTCGATCTGAAATTTGAATTACGGGTTGTATATTGTTATGCAAAATCTTAGAAAAGTCATATCTTCCTCATACGAAGTCACATTTTGACGTTCTTTTTATGCACGCTCTTGGTTTAAGGTACACTACAACTTTCATTTATATATCTAAGCCTAAAAATTAGTTTATCAAAAATTCACTTTTTACGATTCCCGTTGTCATGCCGGTTTTACCGTAAAACTTCGACGGATCATAACTTCTTCATTATAATTCAGATTTCAGTTTTCTTTATATTTCCGGAATCCTTGTCACGACCACTACCGCTTTCTTCATAGATATTGGGTTTATCTACACTTTTTTTGATGCTTATTTTCACTCTTAATTTATTATATTTTATAAATAAGTATAATGCACATAAAATCACAAAATTTACATAATATTCATGTAATTCCTCTTTATTATTTCAAATTGGGTTACAATGGTTGAACCTAACTACTACATCATCACATTAATGTTTAGCCTAGAAACACGGGCGTTATAATTCTCTCCCCCTTACGATGATTTCGTCCAGGAATCATGCATTAGTAAACAGATGTGGATAGCGACTCATCATGTCACTCTCTGTTTCCCAGGTGAGATTCGGCTAATCTGTATGTTTCCATTGCACAATCACTAAGTCGACCATCTTTCATTGTAACTTCTTTGTCTTACGATCAACAATTGCCGCAGGCTCTTCGATTAGCCTCTTTTTTTCATCAATCCTTAACTCTGAAATTGGAATTATGTCGGGAACTTCTCCCATGAACTTCCTGAAATAACACACATGAAAAGTGTTATGAAAACCATCTAGTTCTTCTGGTAATTTGAGCTTGTAAGCTGGGTTCCGAATCCTCTGGAGAACTTTGATTGGCTCAATAAACCTTGGACTCAACTTTCCTCTTTCTCTGAATCTTATAAGTCCCTTCTATGGTGAGACTTTAAGCAAAGCCGAATCTCTGACTTCTGTTGGCATAACTCTTTTGATGGTCCTGAGCGGCTAACATCCTTTCCCTAACCACCTATAGCTTTTCAGCAGTCTGATAAACTATCTCAGTTCCCATAAATAGTATAAAGGTTGAATTGTAACTATTAAAACTCTAAGGGTTGGAATTAAAGTTTATTAAAGTGTGTGAAACTTTACAAATTCCAAAACTTGAGGGCAAGTTTTGTAACTTTGCAAAACTCTTCATTTCATAACTTATGAACTAAAGATTCATAAAAATGAAGACTCTTCATTTTCATGTAACTTATGTGTTTTAAGTGTGTGTTAAATAAAGGTGACCTTTGGAAATCCATAACTTGAGGACAAATTATGGACTCCATTAAAACACATAAATGATCATGAATTAATCCTAAACAATTCATCAAATAATTCCTATCATTTTCTAAATTCATAAGAACATGAACATGATCATAAAAAATTTCAAGAATTATATGAACACATAAAATCATGGAATTTTGATATATGCTATTGTAAATGGATTAGAACAACCATTACACCAACTAAAATAAGTTTTATAACACCAAAACAGTTTAGGGTAATGTTTGTAGTCCATTTCCAGCAGCAAAAGTCGAAAATATGCACTCTTTCGATCCTACTCGTCGAGTGCATGAACCTACTCGACGAGTTGGTTGAAGTTTGCCTTGGACTCATCGAGTCCCCCCCATGGACTCGGCGAGTCCACCATGCAGACAGCAAGGATTTCGATTTTTTTTTCACTATTTTGCATCAAGTATCAAACAAGCAAGCCTAGGCTCTGATACCACTGTTGGGTTTTGAGCAATCTAACACTTCCTAAGTGTGCATGCAACCCTAATAAACCTTGGATCTATGTTTGTCTAAATACATGCAAAATATTAAATTTTCCAAGGTTTATAACCTATTTAACATGGCATGGGGAACATTTCAACATAAAAGAGTTAGAAGAAATTACATACCTTTTTGGTGAGTTTGGTTCTAAGGAGTTTGAGGGCCAAGCACCAATAGTGTGAATGTCTCAAATGGAATCACAAAACACCACAAACTCTTGGAAAACTTTGAGAGAGTATACACACTTGTATAAATTCGGCCACACACATGCACACACACACTAGTTCACTAGTTCTTCCTTAGGCTCCATTTCATGCTTATATAGTGTGCATGGTTAGGGTGAAACCCTAATAACCCATGTCTTTTCGTTTCCAAGGATCCATGGGTTAAAAGCTCCATAGATCATCCATGGACTTCCACATAAGCCTAACCCATTAACAAATGAGTATTAGCCCACACTATATAAAACAAATAGCCCATAATCTAATTAGTCTTCCTTTTAAACTCTAAATTAATTCATAATTAATTTAAGACTAAAACTAATTAAATAACATAAATTCATATTAATATATTATAACTTATAATATATTAATAAACATATGTGTATAACTCTCATAAAATTATCCATAATAGTTTGGATGAGATGCAACCCAAATGGACCATGCCGGTCGGGTCAAGTATATACCAAATAAGTTATGGACTTAGACACCTTATCCAACAGACTCCCACTTGGATAAGTCTAATAACTGTATTTGCCTATAACTTCAGGAACCAACCAGCAATCGTAGCTCTCGAAAACTCCGTCGAACTATGAAGCGCCATTTTAAGACAAGTGATCACATAATCCTCTGTTCTCATGATATCAGCCGGACAAACACATGGAACTATGTCTTGCTTATTGTATGGCAGTTGTTTCTCGATTTTCTGATTTGTTTGACGAAGAACTTCACTAAACACATCGGTTTAGTTCTGACTGGGCCCGGTACATGGGTCAACACAAAATCATC